TTAGGATTTGAAAGTATAAATTTTATAGCAAAGATGAATGTGGGCTCAAAAAGTATGAAAAGTATGAAGGCCAAGCAAAACATAAATATGGATTACAATGGTCCTTCGTTTATCGCAGGAGTTACGTTCCAAAAATAACCTGCGATAGGTGAAATCCGCGAAGTAGCCAACTTAATTTTTTTTACAATTATTATAGATGTTTTACCTCTCACTACTAGGGATGGGTACCGGTATCCGGTGCCATGATGGCACCGGTTCTGACATAAACGGTAGTAACCAGACTGAAAAGCAGCGCACATTTCGGTGTTTTATTTCTATGCTTTTTTTTTTCCTGAGATGTCATACACTTTGGATTCTAGCCAATCATTTTACATTTCCAAGGATAGTAGGCGGGCCCAGGTACGTACGTTCTTTTAGAGCAAAGCTACAGATTAAAAATGCCCAAGGACAAGTTTTAGGACAAGTTTGTGTTTTCCATTCTTTAAGCACCGGTTGAAGCACCGTTTAAGCACCGCACCGTTTCAAAAGTACCAGTTTGGCACCGGTATCGGATAAAACCTAAACGATACCCATCCCTACTCACTACACACTTTATACACTTTTCTCAGACAGGCACGAACATTTTCACACTTTTATTTCTGTTTTAAACGCTTTCAAACTTTCTTAAAAAACAATAAAAAGTCCAGTATTATAGAATGAAACCAAAGGTCCCCAGGGTTCCTCTTGACAGTGCAAAACGTTTCGTCGGCATTGTTGTGTTTGTTGGGGAGGAAACTTACAAACATACAGAACAGCACTTCAGAGTCACATCAAAGATTTATGTCAGTTTGACAAGCTGAACGCATTCTGTACTGTACAGGAGACACGGCACGAGGTTGATTGACAATGGTCTACAGCCAATCAGGACGCAGAACACAATGCGCTATAAAAACATTTTTAAAAAGCATGCAAAATTGCGTACACTCAACAATAGAATTATTAACTCGAACTAAATGAAAACTAATTCTGCAACATTAATTTCTGGTTTTCTTTACAAAAGTTTATTACTAACCTTATGTTCATTGCAGAAGTTTAATGACCATGTTATCATCAGATAACACCTCTAGTATGCAGAACAAGAGTCAAATGACCTGTAAAATACACATTTGTATTTCAGCACACACAGATCCTGAAGCAGAGGGCCTGGCTTAACAAAGAAAGTTCATAACCATTGTGGTGATACCAGTCATCTCCAACTGGGGTTTTAAGTTTTGTGGAGCCAGCTAACACAAAGAAAGCTTCTAAACTTTCTTTGTGTTAAACTTCTAACCTCAGTAAA